CGTTTTTTAGGATAACTCAAGGCGAAGAGTCCAAATCTGAGCTGTATCCACTCCAAAATCCTATTGGTTGAGCAGTAGCCAATAGAATTCAAGTGTTTATAGAAAGGATTTGCCAGGCTAATTTTTATATCTGCATATTCTAGGATGACCGATTTGTCTCATTCACTTTTTGAAGTACACATAACTCTCGGATTTAAATCCGAGATTTCCACATTTATTTTGATTTTTAATATAGAATTCATGTTTACCACAAGCAAAAAATTTTATAGATTTCGCAAATGAGACAATTTTTATTGGACATATTATTCTCATTGTTCTTCTTGTAAATTATTTTTATTTAGAAATCAACGTTTTTTTTTTGTTGTTATTTCTAATATTTTATTTATATTTTTAGTTAATTGTTTTAATTAGTATTGGACTTTTTTTCTTATATACGAAATCAGCTAAACAAGCATTAAATAGATATAATAAATTTATTATTAAATCAATGTTAACAACACTTGAACAATATGAAAAAGAATTCGGTGTATTTGAAAATCTTATACCAAATAAAATAAATTTTCATAATAAACAACATATACGAGGAATTCTACCAATAACACCAACTGTTATTCGTGTTAAAAATCCTCGAATAATGAATTATCTTGGTTTTGATTAATTTTCTTATTTATTTATTTATTTATTATCACATTATGTGTAATAAACAATTACAAATCAAGACCAAGATTACGAAAGTACTAGAACGTACATACGAATTGATGAAACAAAAGCATATAAATTTTCTTTTTTTTTCGTGGTTGTTTTCCTTGATCAAAAAAAAAAAGAATCACAGGGTTTTTTTTTTAATAACTAGGAAATGGCATTCGATCAATGCCTCGTTGTTGATTAGTTAATGATAATGGAAATGCAACACCAAATTTTACTAAACAATCATAAGTTGGAAAACAATAAAGTGTTGTTTGTTGATAATCATAATTTGTTTTAAATAAAATACGTTCAAATTCATTATCAATATTATATTGAATATTTTGTTCATTTTGATGTTCATGTTCATCATCATCATCATCATCGGAATTTTCATTTGAATAAAGATTTATTTGTTTTTCAATTGTCTTTTTTAATGGTACTTGAACTGTTTCTAAACAATTCGTTTGTTGAAATAATTCAATACAATCATTAATAGCAACTGGTTGAAGTACACATTTATAATGTTCATATAAATGTTCAAGACTTGTACCTGGATGATCAATTATAAATAAAAGTAATGATTCCATCATACGTTGTAAAACAGCAAAATTTATTGAACCATCAGTAGATTTCCAAGGA